ATCCGCTTGTGGGTAGCTAGAGCAGTTGATACACCCGAAATGTAGCCTTAGCAAGACCTGAATGGACGATTTGGCGTGGCTTTCAGAGCATAAAGCCATCGAATATCAAGAATTGCGCACTTCAAAATACCATTTTGCATGGCTTTGAAGGCTCCAACAGCCATGTTTGCTCACTTTCGGACATGTTAGGCGAGCTCTTGTTGCTTAGTCGGTTGGAATTAAAACCTTACTTAAACCCGAAGCTGTCTTACGCACACATCAGTCATTCCCAGGTTTGAAGCTGTTTAAGCAACTAAGTCAAGCTACATTCACCATCACAATTTATCCCTTTGCATTCTTACACAATCCTCCTGTCAGCTTCTCAGATGCCCTCCTCAGTGGATCACTTCTGCATTCAATGGGGCATTTTTGACTAAACCCGAAGCCTTATTTAAAACCATCGTAACCCAACAGCTCACTTTGAACCCAAGCTTGAAACCCAAACCCTGCATCGTAGCCCCTGGGCCCCATGGTCCTCCCCCTAAAACCGCTAAACCCTAATCTCCCTCTATAGCCGAAACCACAACCCGTAAATCGGGCTACATGGTCACGGCATCACTGCGCTCCATGGTCCGTAGCTGAATAGGAGGCCTTGCATGTTGCAAAACATGTCGGAGATGGGCGTCGCTCCGCCTTGACTGGGTCAACAGGACAAGCAGGAACGCAGGTGAAGTTGATGCTTTGAATTCTGGAACTGACCAATTATACTGTTGCAACTTTGGATGGAAGTCACAAGGGAAGCGATGAATGTCGTCGTTGATGTGGTCGGCCAGGCACCCGGAGTTGGTCTAGCGCGCAGCTTGGGTGCCATCTCAGGTTCCAGCAACATTGCGAGGCGAAGTCCAAGAAGGTCTAGAGGCAACTTTCTCATCTTCGAGTGACAGCTGCTACTGCGTCCTGCTGTCGCTCGTCCATGTCACACTGTCCAGCAAGTTGCACAGCATGACAGTATGTCAGCACCCAGCATTTCGTTCAGGGTTTCCGGTACGGCCATCTATCTTTTCGAAGGATGGAGTTTGCTGCTACGGCGTCGACGATTGCGGCTTCTTACATTTCATTTCTCAGGTTTCTCCGTTGCTTGAATTTAGAATCTCGCCATCGCTCTTTTTGGATTGCCACTACCCACACCAACTGCTTCTCTTCCAGGATTCCATTTCGGGGCTCATGGTTTGATGATTGATGCATTGATGCCCACGTAAATCGTAGGGTTGAGCATCGGGATGTGGTTCTCACCCATTGGAAGCTTGCCGGCCCCTACGGCTTCTGTATGCTCCGCAACTTCTGGGAGTTATAGTTTCTGAACGGCATTTTAAGGTTTATGCTTTGTCACTCCTTTGACTCCGCTGTTGGCTTGCTATGCTCTGCTACCCAGCATGTGCTTTCGGGATGCACGGCAGTTCAACACAATCGTGCTAAGTGGGGCAAGTCTTCTATCTGTAAATAATCCTTTTGGGGGACTGGATTACTCGTCACTGTTGCGGGTTTACAATGGTTTACAGCTTACATCTGCGCCCAGCATTCCGTTCAGGCAAGGTTGTCGAGTGTAACCATCGATCATTCTGGGTCTGGGATTTGCTGCACCCCGTCTGGGACTTCTTCCATTGCGCTCGGTTGGTTTCCGTGCATGAATTGTTTTCAATGCTTCAGCACCCATCTGCCACATGTAGGTTTAGGGTTTGACACTACGCCCTCTTACATTTCACTTCTAGTCGGGCTGATCGGATTGATGGTTCCAACATGCTTCGGCGCATGATTGCTTGAGAGTCCAGTGTGCTATCCACCAGTGTCGATTGGAGCGCAAAATCTGGCTGGCATATACAGTAATTCGACTTGGGTGTTGGCTTTGGCGATCGCCCATAGGCACCGCGCCTCTTGCATTTTATTTCTTTTCGAGTGTTGCTTGCCACGTGTGCGGCTGCCAACTGCTTCTGTGGTTCCAGTTCGGGGTTCATGGTTTACTGCCCAACGGAATTTTAGGGTTTAGCATCTGGCCCACGGGGTTCTCCCTCGTTCTGCGCAGCTTCTCTTGACGGCTCTAGTACTGGGGCTGCCACTCCTCACCCTTTTGGGATTTGTGACCTCTTACGCTTGACTCCTTTGTGGGTTCATGCTTCGTTAACAGAGTGTTTCATCTCACTCCTTGCTCCGGCACAATTACGGCTTTCTACCGCGCATGTATGCGCATGTCTCTTGTGTGCTAGCGGTGCTTGCGGCTCGACATCACATGTGTTGTAGCTGTAAGGTTGAGTGACATAAGGCTTCTTGGGGCACAAGGCTTCTTATTTCGCACCTTTGTCGGGTCTTCCTGACCTTCAATTGAATTTTGGGCTATAGGCTTTGACGCTCTCCCTTTCTTCTCTGATTTCTTTCTTCACGGTTTAGGGTCGTACCATGCCACACTGCTTTCCGACTCTATGGCTTCTCAGATTTGACTTTCTGGGCTCCTGGTTCGTCGCAGCGGTGATCTGGGTTTTAGAGTCTGGCTGTCGCTTCCGTTAACCTTGCTCCGGGCATCTACAGCACGGAAGGGCGGCTGAGCGTGTGGCGGTGCTCTGATCAGCGCGACAAGCAGTAACTGGGAGAAGCATTCGATGGTCTGCACCTCATCGGGCATAGAGACCAGGAGCTGCAGGTGCAGAAATGTGCAAAACAGCAGCGACTCTGGAATCCCTTGAGCAAGTGACGGCACACTAGTTCGACTGAGCTGAGAAGACGCGCAACGTGTGACAGCATTCTGGGCTGTCAGGCCAGCTGTGTCATGAGCCTCGCCAGTGTCGACACCCGGCTGCAGCACCCTTTTCCTTCTGCCTTCTGCTAATGCTTTTTGAGGCATCGGCAGGCTTGGCGAGCGGCCAGCCATGCGTGCCTCATGCGCTGCCGCCAGAAATCTCCGATCAAACTTACGACCGGTGGCAACAACAGCCAACGTAAAATTCCAGCTGGACAACAATAGCAAGCCTTTCATCATGACTGTTGGCATCCACTGGTCAACATGCCGTTCTACACAGCATCGTGGACGTTGTAAGTGTCGGAGAGATCTCTGGGAGTCTCGGAAATGGGATGTTTGTGAGGCCCCGGCATGAACTGAAGCACATCAAGATGTAGCACTGCAGTGACTGCTCGAAAGGGTCTGAAAAGAAGCCCCGCACCTTTTTACGATACCTTCGATTGTTGTGCGGCAGCAACAACATCTGCTTCAAAACCGAAACTTGCTCAGTACCGATTGGGATGAGGCATGCACGGCTGCAGCCCGTGCTGCAAATGTTGAAGCCACCTGGGCGCCGCGTCTGGGCAACAGCAGGATGCAAGTCCAGCCCGTGGAGATAGCCAGAATCAACATACGTAGACAGCACGATCTTGAAGTAATGTGAGGTGATAGCCAAGCTCTGAGATGCGGACGGACAGCAATAAGTTAAGGATGAGCCACCAGTCAGGCCTGTTGTGAGTTGTTCAAGTGTGCACAGCTAGCAGCCTCGCAAAAGAGAAGTGTGGCAACGCAAGTCTTGAGCTCGTGCCTCTGATACCAGTCCACGATTCTTGGGCCCACTTTGTCCCATTGGCTGGGGAAGACCTGAGTCTGATTACTTACGAGCACCCAAGTACACATGCAGTTCTCCGTGGTGCAGGCAATAAATATCCCGCAAAGATGCCTGGCGAGGAGGTGAGTTGCAAACCACGGTTGGTGGTTCCAAAAGAAGGACTTCGAGCTTACAGGCCCAGTACGGTACAAAATATTTCGGGTCAAGTGCGATCATACCTGGACCTGAATCATCCGGAGGGTTAAGTGCATTGGATGTAAGCGTGAACTAGGGCCTTAGCACTTCTATGACTCTGTGGAAGCTGTCTGAGCTTTCTTTGAGAGAGTGAGGAGATCCAAGAGGAGACGTGTCAAGAATGCAGTCCAGCTGCTGCATGAAAATTTGCTCCTCGACGCTCTCACCAAACCTTTCATGGCACAGGCGACTCTCCAAGTGCAGCTGCGGAGGACAAGGCTTGAGCTTCTCAAAGGCAATCTTGACGGTGGAACCTCGCACCAAGCAGACGCAACTTCGAAGGCCTAAACCGAGCACTTTGTGCTTCGGCCGTGCTCTGGATTCAGAAGCCCTTGGTCCACCACTCAAAAGTGCCAGGGACACGGAGGATACCAGCACTTCCGCACAGCCGACCTTGAGAATCCAGCGCATCGTTTTCACGGCCACTCGAACTGGAAACACTCTATTCCGCACTTAGGCAGACATCTGGGGGCTCGTCTCCAAAGTCATGTGATGAAGCAGCACCCGCAGACCTCTTAAAGCCACTGCCATGCGTTTCAGGTTGACCCCCTAAGTGTGGAAGAACTCAGGCTGGAGCGCTGCGGTGCTTCGTGCTGCGCTTGCGGACTGCATGGCCTGCACTTCCGCATTGCAAGGCAAATGCTTCAAAGCCGCTTCCAGTCCTCGCGTGGCCTGACTGGCCCAAGCGATGCCAACCTCAAGCATCTTCTCTTGTGAACTGCACGCCCGTGTTTGGAGTGGCTTGCTGCGGCACATGCCACAAAATTCAAGCTGCTGGGCGACTGGCCGTCACAATAAGCACACCAAACAGTTGTGACAAGGAGTATCTCTTCCGGAAGAGAACATACCTCGTCACAAAATATTTTGTTTCGAGGCGAGATCATTCCAAGCTTCGGTTGCCGCGTACGCGCAAGTCGGTGCTCCAGACTCCAAACCATGCAAGCAAAATTGCGAGGAACGACTGCCTCCGACTGTTGTTGGCGGTTGTCAGCCGCAGCACTAATACGTAGCAAGTCTTCGCGGCCACTCCGTCTTCTTACCGCGTCCCGTCTGCTGAGGTCAGAGCTGGACCACCACGCCCACCTCGCCAGTTGGGGGCCCTAGACAAACGAGCTGAGGCGATGGCGATCTCGGGAGCCCCGCCATCATGCGCAGGTTTGACAGCATCATGCAAACAGATGCTGGCAACCGGACGTATGCCTGAAATGGGCTTCGCAACAAAGTCAACCCGCTGTGTCGAGCTGCTGCGGTCTTCGGTGAGGTGTGGACGTCCGACTTGAAACTCGTGAAGCTGCATCCCAACAGAATAATGGCTGCCTTGGCAGCGCTTTCAAGACCATTTCCGCACAATGATATTCTTTCCATGTGCCCTTCTCCATGTGCCAGGCCGGGCTCCAAAGACATCATGGGAAAAAAAGACACATCTCTTTGAGACCATGGTTAAACTGTCTGACACTGAGTGCCCTGCATGGTATCTGAGCGGAATACCTGCTTTACAGCAAAATGCGCTGGTGGGTGCTAGCCTAGCCGTCGTAAACGCTCGGATGGGTCACTTCGTTCCATGATCAGAGACTTTGCCCGATGCAGACTGCCACCAATGATCGCCAAATGCCTGAAGGACACCCAACACTGCCCTACACCCTCCACCCATGCAGATGTAGAAACACTTGTGTGCTTCTGACTGGCCATGGCACAAGCAGAAGGAGATGAAGAGTGGTGAGCCAGGATCTCCTCGCAGGACCTCTCGTCAGAACACATCCGGGTACACCAAGGCGAAAGGCTCGGGCTCCAGCCATGTTGTATGGCACTACTGAGCAGACACCGATCACCACTGCTAGGACCTCTTTTGCCAGCAAATCTTGACACTGACGCCTGCGAATGTGTGGATTCTGCGGGCTCCAGACAGCCGCAGGAACGAACGGCTTCGCATCCTGCGGGGCAGCATCTGCACTGCACAACGGAACACGCTCGAAAAGCATGGGTACCACGAGGGAAGGGAGGATCTCGAGCAGTGCCTATCTGAACGAAGCAGACGCATCTCCTGCGCTCGGTGCAGCTGTCTCGTGGTAGCTCGCCTGATGAGGCTCTGCTGCTGCACATCCTTGTCCTTGCAAAGAAAGGCCCAGCTGTTTATGACGAATTATGCCTGCATCCCGACTGGCTTCGCTACTAGATTGTGAGTCTGGCTTGACACTTTTCTCTGCGTGGCACATTTGGCTCTGCGGAAGTACATTAGCACAGAACATGTTCGAGACGCAGAAGCTGTCCTCCAGCTCCACGCAGTCCAAGTCTTCCAGCGCTTCCAACTGAGTGCAGAGGTGCTTCAAATAGACTTTTACCACCCAGGACCAGGACAGGGCTCTAATGTGGAGGAGGGAAGCTTGCCAGGTTGAGACTTCTAGCGCTAGGAGACTCACAAGCATCGCGCAAAAGAAACAGCAGGGACAGCAAGCAGCATTCCAAATGTGTCCTTGTCCGCCTCTTGGCCATGTTCCCAGCTGTGGTTCCTGCCTCTTTTCAAATCGATCAGAGGCTCCCGCTGGTGTCGACATCCCATCGGGAAGGCCAGTGTGCAAAACCTTGCAGACACTGTGCAGATTCCAGAACTCATGCAACCAAATTGAGTGATGAATGCTGACCTGCAATTGAGAGCTCCACATGGCTTGCATGTGACATGCGGTAAACAGCATTAAGCTTCAGCTGCGCGACCTGTGCGAGATTGCAGAAGCCGTCTCTTCCGAGATTCACTTGAATATTGAAGATGTGAGCAAATGGCCTTCCACTTGCTGGAACCCTTATGGGAGGACCTCATACGAGGACAGCTCTGGCACTACTACGAAGTTCTTTCGACCAGCTCTGGTCCTACTCTTCCAGCTCGGCCCCAAGCATTGGAACGTTCGCCCGACGTCCTTGGTGGCGTCCCTCCGATGTCCCTGAGCGGGACCTTGCATTCACAGTAGATTGCCACAACAGCATGTGGCCACCCACCCAGCCCACCTGGCGCCTGTAATGCCAAACGGGCAAGGCTGAACTATGAGTATGCTTGAGCCGAAAATACGGCTCCAAAATGGAATCAAAGAAGGCCCCACAGAGAATTGCAGGAGCTACTGAAATGGTTGGTGCCTCAGGGTTGCTGGTCCACCACTGCCAGAAGCCGCTCCCCAAACCTGCGCTGAACAACTGGTAATTGTCGTGATAACTTTCGTGGTGAAAGCCGGAAATGCCAGGTGTCCGTTCAGCTCCATTGAAACACGGCGTGCCCTGTGAAATCCGTAATGTAGCTTCCGGTGGGAATATCCACGAGACCGCAGCATCGACTCTGTGCCTCTCGTCGCCTCTTGGTCTTGCTGAGCGTACAGCCCGTCCATGGGGATGTGCTATTTACTTGCATCATACTCTGTCTGATAACGGAGGTACCCTGATGCAACGACAGTGGAATAAAAGCGAAAGGTGAACATCCTTGCAGAAACATGCTGGATCAGGCCGCACGGGCCGCGGCCTGATCCTGAAGTTATGCCACCGAAGTTGACTTTTCGAAGGTCGGCAGCCTCAAACCGCGGGGCAATGCTTCCAGACTGCAATGGCCTGTTTGCAGCCTCGAGCCAGGATGAGAAGATGATCTCAGCACTCGGCCTGCAGATGGGAGACAAGACAAACAAGTCAGGCTGCAAATGGACCATTCCGCGCTGTCGGTGAGCAGCACAAGCGACTGCAACCAAGTTGCTCCACTGGGCAGGTTTTGGATTGCTGCGCCTTCTAGCATCACTCGTCGGATGAGACAAGATTCGGCTTCGTACGAACGACCTGCTCAACCTTCCAAACCCTCGAAGCTTGTGTGAGAGCCTTCCAGCACCAAAAGTCTGGACTGTCTTTGGCGATCTGGAGCTTCTTTCGGATCACCTGCAAGAAAAATCTCTTCAAGGTTAAGTTCCCTGCCATCATGCCAAGGAAAACTTGGGATCCTCGCTGCAGCTGCTTGTATATGGTCCTCGATGGCTGGACAGAGCGTCAGACATCCATGCTCAGACTGCCGCAGGGATAGAAGTTTGCACTTTCTGACCACATTCAACGGCTCTTGCTGGGTAGGTGGCAGCAGGCAAATCCACGTCGGCTATGCCACGAACCTTGGCTCTTGGCTCGGCAGAGCTGTAACCGTAACCTGTCCGCATCTTCTTTATACTGACAACACCACCAGAGATCTGGGGTGCCCACGTGCCCAAACAGGCGGTCAAAGCCAAATGTGACGCGATAGTCCAACCTGGGCCATGTGCAGGCTGACAGTCTGGCTGCCCGGACGGCCGAGCCACTGCGTTGGCTGACCATACGCTCGCAGAGACGGCCTTGCCGAGTGCCTCAACCTTGGTAGCCAGGCGGCACGTGCGATGCCTTGGTCACTGGCCGGACGAGTGGATAAGGACTTGTGAGGCCTTCGCCACAAGCGCAAAAGCTACCTGGTTGCGGAGAAATGTGACGAGATTGATGAGACAACCCTGACGCTCACATGCGGAGGCCTCTGCATGGGAGAGCGTCTCAGAATCGTAAATCAAGCGCCGACCTGTTGGAATCTGCAAGGTCTTAGGTCTGCTACGAGAGGTTCGATTCGACTGCTGCCATAGCAGACATCTTGTCGCGCAGGACAAACGCTTACCTCGCAGTTTCTGCGAGAAGTCGTCAGCTAGGGTTCGAAGCCTAGCCAGCACATAGGGGTGACAAGGTCACGCTGCATGGATTCTCACAAGTAGCGGCTGTGGGTGGCACTCGTCCCAGTCCAGCAAGAAAGTGGTGACCTTGTTTATACATTGACAAGACTGAAAACAGTCTCTAGGCCCTAGGCAGAGCCCATTTGAGTGCTTCCTTTTCCGTACAATGCTTCGACATATCATTCCGCAGCAACGCTGTTGACACGAATGAAGATATCTCCAAACCCAAGGCACTGAATGGTTTGGCTTCGACCATTGACTGCAAACCCGAAGCCGTTTCGGAAAGCGTCATCAGGTAGGACTTCATGATGGTCTCACCAATGCAAACAAGCTTGATCGACTAATTGAACCCCTAATCTCGGCGGGACCCGGAACCCTCCGACATATGAACCTTAAGCCTAAGACTGAAAATGAGTAGGCCCCTGGCGCCAAGCCTTTCGGCTGCAGCAGCGGCAGCCGCTTTTGCCGTGGCCGCCTCGTTGGTGCAGCGTGGGAATGACATGGATTGACATGGCATGAGTCTCAAGTTCCACTAGAGCAGGAACCGTCTTTGGTGCGTCGAACTGGAGAACCCTGCTGAATGCAGCTCTTTAAGAGCTGCTCCTGCGCGGTTCAGAGGGCAGAGAAGCAGTTCCCGCACTGCTCTAATCTAACGGCGTGTGCAGGGTCTAGCCTGAGCCCTTTTTGGGGCTCAGCTGGGACCCTCAGCTCCACTGCCCTCATCTGAAAGACTTGCGGAGTCCTCGCGAGCTTCCTCTGGAAGACTTTCACTTCGCAGCAGCCTTACGCTACTCAGGAAGGCTTCTGCTTGGCCTGAAGTCTCAAGCATGTCCCTGCCCTGCTTGGAAGCAGCCGCAACTACTGTAGACATGACCGGCGGGGACAAGATATAATCATCAGCATTGTGTGAAGGAACCGTTGAAGAAACGTCATACGAGGCGCAGCCGTCAGGCAACGGCTCAGAGATTCCGCAAAAGCCCATGGCTGCTTCACGTTTCGGGCCGCCGGAGGTCAACTCAGCAAGACCAAAGGCCCCTGCCAGAACTGCGTCGTTCTTAGAAAAGAAATTGGTGATCGAGCGAACAGCTAGCGCTTCGCGTGGGAAGTCTCCTGTGCTGCTTAAGGCCTTGTGATGGAGAGCAGCCCCCAAAAGAAACATATGATCAACTAAGGTCTCTGGGATCGGAGTCTTTACAGCAGAAAGAGCCACTCTTGCTCCTAAAGAGTGGCCGACCACTGTCACAGTACATCCGTTCGAATGTAACCTCTGCAGGAGTGCCTGCAGCTTGACTGCAGCCCCCGGAATCTTCGCGCGAGCGCCGGGGTAGGAGGTTTTGTGGCTTGGCCACAAGAATCCGATGACATTCGTGCGCTCCGGTTCTGCTGGGAGATCTCCCCCGGTCTCCATGCGCAACCGCTGCTGGAGCAAATACAGGAAACTCATCGCTCGGTGAAAAGGTGTACGAAAGCCGTGCACATAGACCAACACCTGACTCTCGTTCAACTGGCAGGGGAAGTCTGAACTGCCTTCAGATCCATCGATGCTCCAATACTCGTATGCTCCCCAAGTTTCTGCCGTGAATCCTTCCTTGTTCCTGCAAGAAGCCTCATGAATCTTGGACAGCTTCGCTGCTTCACCTGTTGGATGCAAAAAGAAGTCGCAGTGCGCCTGCACTTTGAGTCGCTGAGCCTCGGTCATCGTTCTAGCTTGAGCTTTAAACAGCTCACATTTCTGCCCATGCTCACAGAAATGTCTGCAATCTGGCTGGTAGAGCTGGCAGTCATCCAGCAAGTGGTCAAGCTGCACAGGCGGTCGACAAGATGCAATCCAGAGGTCCTCGTCGTGGCATGGAGGCGGCAGTGAAGCAATCTCAGCTGCAAGCATGGAGTCCACGTCACCACCTGTCACGCTAGGGTCCAGCAACAATTCACGCAAGAACTTTCTCTGACGCTCTGCGTAGTAGTCAGGGTCAATGACGACGCAGTCCTTCTTCTTCATACCCCGCATTTCGTGTTTCAACAAATGGTACAGCCTCATCGTGAGACCGTACTCCACAAGAAAATCAATAATGCCCACAAAATAATAATACTGTCCGTCTGCGCTTTGCAAAACCTCTGCCCCGCAGTCTACTCCACTTGTATCATCTGACCGCAAACCAATGCCCACAAGGATGCTGTAGTCCATGATGTTGCACATACTGCGGAAGGTGGTATCACGATCATGCATCTGCCTAAGTCTCAACGCATCATCTGCACAAAGCTGCAACCGCTCGCCGTCATCCAACCAGTTCTGATCTTTTCGCACAAACTCAGTGGAGACATCCGAGACATGGCGACCAACTGCACACCCCTTCAGGTCATACAGAGACAGTAGAGGCAGCTGCGGCAATGGATCCATGATGGACTGCATGATGGTAACGTAACGAGATCCCTCAAGGAGTCCACCAAAGTTGAGGCGAAACAATGCCAAATATCTACCCAGCATTGATCCCACTCTGTCACCACACATCCTCTGCACATACTTTGGCATTACGTCCATTAGTGCCATGGCCTCCTTGCGCGAAATGGTCTTCACGATGAAGCTGCCATTGCACGAAGTCAAGAAAATTGCACCGGACCGGCTGTTGGTGGTGAAAGATCGACAGGGCGAGTTGATATCGCCGAGTTCCTGCAGAATTTTTCTGTCGTCCAGGCTGGCGACATCTTCCCGCAAGCGGTCTAGCAAATTCAACCCAAAGGAAGAGAATGTGAAGCTTTGCTCAAAGTCCAAACCCGTGAGAGGGCAACGGCCAGGGGGTATTACGAACTTGCAGGACTCCACTAACCAGGTCGGTTGGGGCGAGCCTTCGAACAAAGGATGCACATGGTCTTCCAGCAATTGAACCAACCGTCTGCAGCTGTGAGAGGCTTGGATCATGAAGGGTACTGCCATCGCTACTTGTTTTGCAGTTTGCCCAGATTCTGGAGCTGCTGTGCTTTCTGTGGTCTCGTCGCACCTTCCCGTCAGAGCTCTCACTACAGGGTCAGCCTTCTTCATTAGAATGGGCAGCGCCTCCTCCCGAAACCCGAGCGCTGAAGAAGTCTCTGGTACATGCCATGTGTCTGGCTTCCAATCGGACTCTAATACGCTCATGCACATGGCCTGGAGTAGAGCCTCTAAGCTTGCCAACTTGGATTCGCTGACCCGCATTTCGTCCAGCTCCCTATCGTCTGCTGCTTCGCGCAGCTCGGACCAAGCCTCAGTGACTAGCCCTGGCACGATCTCGGGACCAATCCTAGCGAACAACTTGGTAAACTTCACCACAGAAGTCTGGCTGAGGGTCTTCTTGGCGGCTAGGATGAGGAAGTAGCTGCACAACATCTTCCTCGTATCTGCTCCACTGCTTAGCTGCCAGTGGGCAAGTCTTAAGAGCTGTACCAAATTTAACGACGAGTCTTTCGTTGACAGCAATCCCAGCTCACCCAAGTGCTTGCTGATTAAGGGAGCTGCCGCTGAAGCTACTGCAGAGGCCACTGCGGAAGCTGCTGCTGGTGGCTGTATACTTTGAACCATAGCAGATGCTGCAGGAGAGACGGAAGAGGCCGATCCCATGGCTCGAGAAGGCGGGCCCGAAGCCCGCGCGGGACTGCACTGCCACTTATAGAACCGATCAACTCCAGCATAAACTGCCTCAATCATTCTCGACTCGAACAACGTCGCTTTAGTGTGCCGGGCAAGTAAACCAAAGGGTTGACAGCCCTTCCCGCTGTGAAACGCAGGAAATTGCGTAGGGCATTGGTACAGCATGCACCTCGCCAGCGTACAACGAAACTTCCAGGCTCGAGGTCGGTCGTGACTTTTATAAGGTATTCCGATCTAAAGTGATGGGCGACGTGATGGTGACTTTGCCATCGGTGCAATCCTGGCTTGATGGGAAAAAGGCCCGTGGTTGTGGTAGACATGGTATGCAGCTGGGAAAGAAAGAAGGGCTTGCGGTCTGGGCAAAGATGACATGATTTCGTGTCAGATGCGCTGCAGTCCTTTGCCCCCGAGGTTCTGACTCTCGTGGCAAGCTCACGTCTATGCAGGTACGTGAACGCGGAGTCCAGCTTTGGGAACCCCTGAGCAACCCATGCAACCCATGCTAAGCTATCCTGGCAGATCCTGGCAGCATGCGACGCTATGACACCGGGGCCGTACGCAGACTGGGCTCCATGCATTGTTCACTGCACCTTCTAAAACAACACGGGCATCAAGAGATGCTGGCCCTGGTTCCTGCAGGAGTGATGCTCCTGCATTCCCAAACTGAACCGAGCTTGGCTGTCATAAGCAAGTGTCCTCACCCCGATGAGTATGGCACCATGCTTGAAGAAAAAAGCCTTCAGGGCGGTACTGATCGGGCTCCATGCCAGCTCCAAGCCTCACCTGAGACGTGCCTATGCCCTCCACATCTGCGAGTCCCTGAGAGAAGCTCAGTGCCAGGATTTGGCCGTCCTGCCGTCCACAGGATTCATGTGCATCGTTATCTTCATGCACACATTGCGCAAAGCCACCACAAAACACTGTTTGATCTCAATCCACTCTACAGCTCTCAATAGTTAAGATGAAAGGAAAGCAACATCCCAGACTTGCTGCGTTTGTTGGGCCGCGTCCTCGCATTCCAGGAGTTTGACCTTAGAACAGAGCTTTCAAGGCTATGCATGCTCCGACACAGAGATGTACTTAATGGTGCTCAAGTTTTGCTCCAGATGTCGAGTGGTAGGTCCAGCATGTGCACTTTGTTTACTGCGCTTCGACGTGCCGTGCCTGGACCAGTGGCACCCACAGAAGCAGTGCGTAGGGACTCTGGGACTCTTTCCGGAGATTCTGAGCCAACAGCCCTGAGGAGTGGCCCACCTTTGGCATCTGCCTCTCGATCTAAGACCCAGCACATGTCGTGTTCAATTCTAAATTTCATCTTGCGGCATGCTAATTTGACTTTGCGACTGCCTTGGCCAGAGTACCAACTGCTCGGTCAAACAGACCGGTAATGGGGCCAAGGACCTGGAGTCGAATTGGCGAAGTCGGAATCGACCATGTTCAGAAATGTCGAATCCAGCTGCCTACGGACTCCCTGAGATCAGGTCAGATGGTCTTTTGCCATCATAGCGGCTATGGCTGAAGCTGACCCCGGCCTTGGAAATCGATGAGGAATCAGCACATGCACGAAGTCAACTGCTTCAGGTTTGTACGACCGCAGCACCTGGCAGGCTGCTCGCATCTCAGGTCAACACGTTGTTGCACAAAATGCAAAGCCGGGGCTGCTTCACCTTCACCTTGTCAACAAATGACTTGAAGTGATTGCGCAGTGCTCTTTCTTCTAGGCGACAGCTGGCCACCTCTAAGACTACATTTGTAATGCCGATGAACTCGAGTCAAATCAGTCCCATGGACTTTCTCTGTCCTGTATGTCCAATTGGACATCCAAAGGCTCTGAGCTCAGTGCTCCGGCGGCAGGCTCGACGAACTTGGCGAAGCTAGTCACTCCCACTCTCTTGAGAGTGTTGCCAGAATCTTTAGAATGTTGAGTCACGGACGACTTGCCTGCGAACGAATCGCCCGGTGCAGCAAGGAAAGTGACTCAATGCCTGTGATGGGTCTGTGATGGGCCGTTCAAGCGACAACATGCAAAGTCGAGGTACTGGCATGTACTGGCATTCTACTAGATCTGCCTTTGCCAATGAATTCATGAGAGCTTCTGCGTCCACCATGTGCTCCCAGCTGAATGCAATGTCCTTCCAGGTTCGGGAGACACCTCCAGCAACCGTGGCTAAGCAGCGCACCAGCGTCGCGTCGCTGTCGCTCTGCTCGCTCATGGACAGCGGCACCAGAATCTTCTGGCCTCACATGTTCAAGTGTGCGCACCGGGGGGCATCGCTATTCTCTGAGGCATCCGCCGGCGCATGTTGCGCAAACCAGACTTGGCCTGGGGAGAAGCCCTTTGCTATGTGCTCCCCTGCCTCTGTGCTCTCGAGTCTAGGCATCGGGCAGGGGAGGCTTGCTTGGCACGGGCCGGGCGGCATCCTGCATGATGTTTTGTGTCATAGCAGTGGAGCAGGATGACGGTAACCGTGACTTCATGACAGACCCAATTATCAGCGCGTACCTATGGTTTTGAACACACGTATTTGCCAAATGTTGCAAAAATCTCTTCAGGTTCTTCGTCCAACAACGGCCTTGCCATTCTCCTTGGCGCAGGCGTCTTCCATCATTCGGCCATTTAGTCATGTGAGCCAAGCCGGCACATTGTGGCCACTATTGTCTGATGATGCAATTTAGTTGGGAATGTCTGCAATTCCACAGCCACATGGCCGTTCACAATGTGGCAGAACCCGTCTGATGCTCTGCAAGTTTTCGTGAGGTACAGCATCAGGGTGTCACTCGAAGGATGCTTGCATGCAGCTCATTCTGGAAGTGTCACGGCACGTGAAAATAGTCCTTGCAAAGGCTGCGGAAGAGAAAAGCCAAACTACACCACACTCTGCCAAACCACACAAGGCATCACAGGGTCTTGGTGCCAGCTACGGAACGAAATTCAGAGACGTTCTCTGCCGTCCAACTGGCATACAGCACTCGTTCACTTGGGCTTTGGTTTCTTCTGACCACTTGCAGCAGTCAGGATTGAAATCTAAAACTCTAAAACAAGACGCACAAGCACACATTACACCAGAAAAAACGCACACCCTACTTCCTTCACTTCTGCGTGGCTTCCTCGAACTTTCGCCTCCGGCAAACGCGCAGCATGATGTAGCCCTGCAAACCTTCTATGGCTGGAGTGCTGCTCGTCAGGCCTCACGGACTGGAGGTAGATGATGATGCGGATCGCGCAAGGGACGACCAGGAGGACCTGCGGCAGTGGTCGCCTATG